TTGCACTCCAGTCTGGGCGACAGAATAAGACTCTGTCTCAAAATAAAAAAAAAATAGTCCACTTGCATCTCGGAAGAGGTGGCCATGTATTCATAGGCTCCTGTGCCCTATAGCTGCCAGTCCCCTCTCAGGGCGGGGCTGAGGAAGCCCCAAGAGCATCCCACATCAGCTGTCAGTGAGGCCAGGGACGGAATCAGAGGGAGAGTCTGCAGACCGCCAAGGCAGCGGCTTGGTCAGATTCCACCCCTGCCCTGCTGCTTTCCCCACCTGGCCCAGGGGATGGGGAGGCTGCCCCTCAGGTGCCTCCACCGTCCACCCCCATGTGGCTCCCCTGCTCCTGCCCTCAGAAAGGCCGGCCCACCACGAGGCCTCCAGCTGCCCAGGAGGGACAGCCAGACAAGCCCTGGCCCCATGGCTGTGGGTGCTCCCAGGGCTATGATGGACACCATCATCTCCTCCACCAAGCTGTCCCTGCGGACATCCCACACTGCCACTCCCAGCGTGCCCATCAGCGTGTCCCGCCTGGAGAGCCCGTTGCTCAGGCTCGGTGACCCACACTCCCAGCTCTAAGGCACCTGAGCCCTGAGTCGATCGTGCCTGCTGGTCAGTGGTTGTTGTAGTTGCCTATTTTCCATTATCACAGGGCATCGAAGAACCTAGAAATCCCCCAGTGAAGCTTCCCACTGAGGCTCTTCCTTCGTCCCTGCTCTCACAGTAACAAGGGACACCTGCTGTCTTCTGCCCGCCCCCTCCCAGTAGACGAACTCTTCATGCCTTCCTGTCCATTGGGATGAGTCAGTTTCAGGTTCGATGGGTTCAACAGAGACGTTATTCTTTCCCTTGGCAGAAACCTCACCACCGTCCTACCCTGAACCCAGACCTCTGATGCAGCAAGCTCAAGACTGAAGCATGAAGGTTACACGGAGGTCCCTGCAGGGGACAGAGCGTCTGCCCTTTGCTTCCAGGCCCTGTGCACTGCCCGTCGGCTTGGTGCACGTGTCGTGTCCTGGGAAATAGGAGCCAGCCCTCAGCGCACAGCTCAGAAGGCTGAGCCTTGGGCAGGTCATTCTAGCAGCCAGCAGCTGCCCTGAGATGGGGGTGTGGAAGGACAAGTGGGCCCCATGGTCAGGGGCTCATTATCTCACCATCTTTGCTGTCAAGTGGGACGCTCGGTCTGAGACCCCTCCCAGGAGGCTGCAGAGACAATTCTATCCATTGTCATTAGGAAATAAGTCCGGATCGCCATCTGCAAGGCTTTTCACCAGCCTGCATTGGGCGGGGAACTGGCTTGATCCAGGGCTCACTCTGCACTGGACGCATTTCTCCTTCCATCTTTCAGCGAGGTGGATGCTAAGGAGGCTCCCTGACACACAGTGGAGATCCCTTTCTTCCTGAGTCTTGCCTGGAGTTGGGAGGTGTCATCTTTCTTTCCAGCTCTGAAGAGGGGTCAGGGAAGCCAGAAGCTCTCAGGAATCCCCCAAGCACATTCGCCAGACCAGGGAGAAGGTGAGGGGTGAGGGCCTCATGCAGAGTTCTGCTGCCTGAACTAAAAGCAATCCAAATGCTATGGTATTTTGAAGGAGACCATGCCAAGGACACTTAAGCCTGCTGGCATTCATTTCAGTGACTTCACAAACACTGATGAGTTGGGACTTCGTGGAGTGTTATAAATAACAAAGTGTTCAAGTCCAACTGGTTCAAAGAAGTCTTCCTTGGCTCATGGGCTGGGAAGTCCAGAGGTAGGTGGGCCTCAGGACTGGCTTGATCCAGGGGGTCAGAGACCACTTCTTTACAGTTAGATTCCCTCTCAGGCTCACTTCCCACATGGAGACGAAATTGCGTAAGCTGTCCCTGGCATACATCCCGCACTGCAATATCCGAAGGAGGAGGGAGGGCAGCTTCCAACTCTCCCCTGAAGGTCAGGAGGCGTTCTTTCCAGCCTTTCTCAGCAAGCCACCTGCCACGCCCTATTGGCCCAAATTTGGTCATATGCCTTTCCCGGAGCAAATCTTTGTGTCCAGGGATGTTGACTGATGTAGCCTGTCTCCAGCTCAGAAGGTTTTAATGAGTCTAAGGATGACCCCAAGATGGGGTGAAGTCAACAACCCACCCAAAGACAGAGACTACAGCATGTGGGACTGGCTGCCCCCTCTTCTCCACACTCATATGCCTAATGAGATCACGCTTACAAGCCTGCACAGCCTCTGAACCCAAGACCTCAGAAATCAGGAAGGGGAATGGTTAAAGATCTTACATGAAACTACCCCTTCCCTTCTGTCCCTTTGTGTTGGCTGAAGGCAGATGTTTGAGTGCTCTTTGATGAGGGCACTGTCTGCCCACTTTTCACAGTCTGGGTGTCGCCACTGGGAAGAAGGGGATTTCCACTCCTTGATACTATGCCTGCAATTAGGGTACTCTGCCATCAGGAGGCAGCAAAGTAAAAAAACTCATTCATGTTGGCATCCTAAGAAATGTAGACGACCACATATTTTTTCCATGAAATTGTGGGTAACTTTTATGTTTAAAATACCACTTAATCACACAACTAGGTTCCTTTTAGATGTTTGTTCATCACTTACTGCATGCACAGTAAGCCCCCAGACCTCTGCATCCAGTAACACAAAGGGACAGGAAGGAAGGGATGGTTAGGAGAAGGGGTGCTCTGAGACGCATACTGCTGTGGGCCATGGCGGAAGCCAGACTGGCCTCGCCCCACAGGACCTTGAGAGGCAGGCTCAAGCCTCAGGCTTGGGAAGTACACTTCTTCTCAGCAATTCTTCTAATCCTGTGGACACAGAGAATTATGTAACTGACCCTGTTCCTTTCTGCTGGGGCTGCTGGGCAGTGCAGACAGGAAGGAGGGGCTGCCCTCTTCTGTGTAACAGCCCATGGCAGAAGGGAGGGGCTTTGACCTCAGCCCCAACTTCCTCCTAATCTACATAGTTTTCCTTAACTCCAGTTTTCTTACAAGCTTTTGAAAAGATCTTTCTATAGTAAGGCTTTCTTTGTAAGAAGCCTCATATACTCTTTAGAACAAGATAGCATAAAAGCCTTTGATTTTTGATGTTCCAGGTACTGAAATCAAAAAGTCAAGTAAAACACGCAGGGCTTCCTGGATTTGCTCACTCCATGCTTTACCTGGCCCATTACCTTGGCCCTTTCAAATCTCAGCTTTCCTCAGAGAAGCTCGCAGTACTCAAAGCTCACCATTTAGTGAGGAAGGCAGACAAGGAAACAATGACAATCCCGAGACCAGCCTGTAAAAGAGGGAGCCCCAGGACCCACGGAACCCCGGTGGGGGGGTGCCCAATTCGGCCAGGGGCCAGGGAGGACTTCCAGGAGGAAATTATGTCTAGGCTGATCCTTAAGGACTGAAGAGAAGTTGGCCAGGTAGAGGAGGAGAGGGAGGCTCCTGGCAGGCAGGGGCATGATGGGGTGGAGTTTGCTCTGATTTAGCCAATCCCTCTGTCTACAGGAGAAGGAATGGGGGTGCTGGGAGCAGGAGCAAAGAGAGCTGGAGAAGGTGTCTGCACTTGTGTCCCACTACACTGTGGAAGGACTTGGAGGCAGGAGCTGGGGTTGGACTGATGTGATGGAGCAGGAAGAGAAGTCTCCCAGAGGGTTCTCAAGTGTCAGGAAAAGCAATGTAGTGGCAGCAGGTGCCATTTCTGGAGCTGGGAGAAGTTTAAGACAGGCTGAGCTCAGCCAGGGGCCTTCAAGTCATGGTGCCAAGGAGCCCAGGGATAGATTTGGAAAGTATACCAATCTGGCTTCTCCAGAGAAACAGAACTGATAGAAACAGATGGATGGTGGGTGGATGGTGGATGGGTGGCAGATGGATAGATGGGTGGATGGGTGATAGATGGATAGGTGAATGGATGGTGGGTGGGTAGGTGGGTGGTGGGTAAATGGGTGGACTGGTGGTGGACAGATAGGTTTATGGACAGATGGATAGGTGGATGGGTGGTGGATAGATGGTTGAATGGATGGTAGATGGATGGCTGTATGGGTGAGTGGATAGGTAAATGGATGGATGGGTGAATGGGTTGTGGATGGATGGGTAGTGGATGGGTAGTTAGATGGACAGATGGATGAATGGATGGATGGATGGGTGAATGGATGTTAGATGGATGGCTGTATGGGTGAGTGGATAGGTAAATGAATGGATGGGTGAATGAGTAGTGGATGGGTAGGTGGATGGACAGATGGATGCATGGATGGGTGAATGAGTGGTAGACAGATGGCTGAATGGATAGATGGGTGGATGAATGGATAGATGGGTGGATGGGTGGATGGGTGGGTGGGTGGGTGGATGAGTGGATGAATGGATATGGGTGGATGGGTGGATGGGTGGATGGGTGGGTGGGTGGATGGATGGATAGGTACCTGCATGGGTGAGTGGATGAATAGATAAATGGGTGGATGAATGGATAGATGGATGGGTGGGTGGGTGGATGGATGGATGGGTGCCTGCATGGGTGAGTGGATGAATAGATAAATGGGTGGATGAATGGATAGATGGGTGGAGGTGCCTGCATGGGTGAGTGAATGATGAATAGATAGACGGGTAGATGAATGGATAGATGGGTGGATGGGTGGATGAGTGGATGGGTGGGTGGGCGGATAGGTGCCTGCATGGGTGAGTGGATGAATAGATAGATGGGTAGATGAATGGATATATGGGTGGATGGGTGGGTGGGTGGGTGGGTGGATGGATGGATAGGTGCCTGCACAGGTGAGTGGATGAATAGATAGATGGGTAGATGAATGGATAGATGGGTGGATGGGTGGATGAGTGGGTGGGTGGATGGATGGATAGGTGCCTGCATGGGTGAGTGGATGAATGGATAGATGGATGGGTGGATGGATGGATGGATGGATGGATGGATGGATGGATGCCTGGATGGGTGAGTGGATGAATGAATAGATGGATGGATGGATGGATGCCTGGATGGGTGAGTGGATGAATGAATAGATGGATGGATGGGTGGATGGATGGATGAATGGATGAATGGATGGACAGATGGATGGATGGATGGATGGATGGACAGATGGATGGATGGGAGTGGATGGATAAGTGGGAGAATAAATGGGTGTGTGGGTAGGTAAGCAGACAGGTACAAAGAACAACTGATAGATAACAGGGTTTTACTTTAGGGAATTGTCTCATGGTATTGTGGGGGCTGACAAGTCCAAAATTCTGCAGGGCAGCAGGGCAGCCTGGAAACTCAGGCAGGAGTTGGTGCTGTAGTCTTGAGGCAGATTTTCTTCTCCACTGGAGAAGAAACCTGTTTTTTCTCTTAATGCCCTCAGCAGATTGGATGGGGGTCATCTCTTCATTATTGAGGGTGATCTTTACTTAAAGTCATTTTCTTAAAACTTTTTCTTTTTTTTTTTTTAGAGACAGGGTTTCACCATGTTGGTCAGGCTGCTCTCGAACTCCCGACCTCAGGTGATCCGCCTGCCTCAGCCTCCCAAAGTGCTGGGATTACAGGCGTGAGCCACCGCGCCCGGCCTTAAAATCATTTTAAGGCCAAATCATTCGTAGCTCCTGCTCCAAGCAGCTTGGCCATAGTGAAGGAAGAAAGAAATTCAAGTGGGGCCTGCTCTGCTCTAGTCATCTCAGGGAGCCGGGTCCAGCCCCACCCAGCTGACTGCACCTTTCTTTAGCCTTGGTGAGCCTACAGTGTCTCATCTGTAAGACAGGGTGACACTCAACACCATGACCTCAAGGGAACACCCGACTGGGAGGCCCGCAGAACAAGCACTTTGTAAGTTACACAGGCAAGGGCTCCTGACTAAGCCTCCTCAAAACCGCCCCTCCCATGCCCACACAGCAGCTCTGAGAAGCACAGCCTGGTGACAAAGTTGCTAAGAAGGGACACGATGTCTTGCTTGATCAGCAGCCGGGGGTGGTGGCGATGTGGGACCAGAGGCTTGAGCTTGCCGGCAAGGCCAGCAAGGCCAGGCGCAGGCTTCTGGTAGGACCCTTCTGGCCTCCCACAACAAGAGCTGCTCTCACCGTCTGACGGCTGCCTTCTGGGTCCTCTGCAGGGCTGTGTGCCTGAGTGGTCATCAACCAAAGGTCATGTGGCTGGGGGAGCCCTGTGGCTTCTGGTCTGCAGGGGTCTGGGCTCCATGTGACCTTCTCTCTCTAGGTTTCTGTTTCTTCTCCCCAGCTGGGAGCCCTGAGACCTGCAGTTTTCCTCCCGGGTCCCACAAGTCATAGCTCTGGAAGACCATGTCCCTTGTGGGGCCTGATACCGGTGGTCCCCTCTGGTGGGGTGAATTGCACCTTCCAGAAAGGTATGTTGAAGTCCTAACCCCAAGACTCAGTCCCCAGGAATGTGACCTTATTTGGAAATCAGGTCTTTGAAGATATGATTGGTTAAAAGGAAGTCAGACAGTATTGGGATAGGGTGGACCCTCTGTCCTAGGACCGGTGTCCTTATGAGAACAGAAGGGGAACATTCAGAGAAGAATGCATTGTGACAGCGGAGGCAGAGTGCAGAGATCGGCCTCCCTCGCTGGGTGCGACGCCCTGCGCTGGCTCTTCAAGCCCCTTCAGAAAGCCTGTGGTCCCCCGTCACGCAGCTCGGCTGACTCACGCACCTGCCTGCTCTAGCTGAGCCTCTTCGTCTCACTTCCGGAACAGGGGCAGCTATGCAGTCAGTGTTCAATAGGTGTGGCGTCTCACCTCAGAGCTTGCTCCTTGCTCTGCTCTCCCTTTCTCTTTCCTTCCCTGGTGCTCCTCGCTTTCCTCATCTATTTGGGCTGCACAGGAATGAAGCTTCATCGGAGGAAGAGCTTTTGGAAGACAAGCCACATCCAAGCTTTGCAGTGTGAGTCATATTCTGGAACTAGGCCTATACATTTGTACATTCTACTTCATTCCATCGCTTGTAATGAACCATCTCTTGTGAGTTTTCTGTGATGGCAAAACACTGCCAAGTCGACAAACCACTCAGAGTTAGCTGGGCAGCTGGAACTGTGGCATAGATCGGGTGTCAGGGAGAACAGATGCCCGTGTAACCCAGGGCTGTGTGTCCCCTTCCTAACCCATCTGGGGGGCCTCAGGTGAGCCGTGGGCATGTGAGGGTGAAGCTGGGCCTGACTTAGCTGAGAATCCAGGTGTGGGGACCGGGGCTTGAGATAGGCTCCAGGCCGTGAGTCACATCCTACTTTTACTCCTGGTTTCATGTGGCGTGGTTTTAAATTATTGAGTGGCTGGAAAGATCCCACAATGAAATCATATTTCATTTGTTTCTCCATTTGGCAGTGAAGTCGATCAATTCCTGGAGTGTACTTAGAGATGAAGAAAGGGCAGGGATCCTGCCACTTTGGTGAGAGAAAGCCTGGAGTTTCCCCAACTGAGTGGAGCCCCCGACGGCCTCGGGACGCCCGCTGCTTGTTCTGCCGCCCTGTGCCTCTGACTTGCAGGGTTTCCGCACAGCTGGGTTTCCGGAGCGGACACCTTCTTTCTAGACCAGGCCCCAGGTGAGCACAGCCACACTGTGCTGCTCTTCACAGAAGCAATTTGTGGGAAGCCCCAGCAGATTCAGGAAGAGGTCATGGCGGCGGGAGAGGGGCTCAGGCAGCTCTGACCTCTTTCCTTGGCTGAGGGTGAGCAGCAGCCGCAGTGGGGGCCTGCGCTGATCCCACAGTTCAGTGGCCACTCTCCTCTGGGCTGGAGACCCCCTTGGGGAGTGGAGGTGACCCCTAACTTCGCTAGAGGGCCAGAGACGCTTCTCCAAGGAGGGGATCTCAACCAAGGTCCAGAGGGTAAGCCTGAGCTATCCGGGAGAAGACGGGGCACTCCCAGCAGCCCTGGGTGGGGGGCAGCAGGCCTGGAATGGCTCGGGCCCAGCTGGGCAAGTAGCCTGGCCATGCACCTCACACTGGACCCCATGACTCCCGGCTTCCGCCTTTGACCTCTTGAATGCCCCCTGGAGGGGATGATAGATTCCAGAAGGCCAGGGGCTAAAGGCCAGGGACTCTCTTCAGCAGGGCCCAGGTGTGCGGCCTGCCGGCTCCGCTTGCCCATAGTTTGCAATTGGGTAAGCAATGCCTCAGTTTTCTCATCTGTGACATTGGGATGATGATGAGATGATGACAATGATAGGGTCTTCTGAGCCTTGGCACAGAGCCGTCAGGACACAGCAGCCCTGGCTGTCACTGTTTGCTTCACCTGGCCTGGCCCCAGGAGTTCTGGGTGCAGTGTCACACGTCCCTCCGCCTCTCAGCCAGCCTGGAGTTGCTCCCACTGGGGCTTAGACAGGACCCCTCCATCGAGGCTCTCCTGTCCCCTAAAGCAGCCACCAGCCCATGGGATGCTGGGCCCTCTCCCTTCCGGCCCCTCCTGGCCCAGCCTCAAGAAACCCACAGCCCCACCTGCCCCAGTCCACGTGAGGCCAGCACTATGGGGTCTGCCCAGCCCCCAACCCTACCCAGCATGTGTCCTTCTACACTCTCTGCGGCCTTCACACTCGCTGAAAGGGCAATAGCTTTTTCAGGAGAAATGACCCTAATTTTGAAGCAATTTAAAGGTCATAGAGCGGTGACAGGTTCCCACGTTTGTGGTGGGGGCATCTGTCATGAAGAGAGTAAGTCTTTACCTGTGATCACAGGACTCACATTTTAGGAAGTCTCACCCAGCTCAACCACGTAGGAAAAGCATTCCCCAGATCACCATGGTGGAGCTCTTCACCGGAGCGCCTGGCTTTATGTCTTCAATATACGTTTGTGAAAGTAGGTATTTGTGTTGAATTGCCTTTTTTTTTTAAAAGGAGTCTCGCCCTGTCACCCAGGCTGGAGTGCAGTGGCACCACCTAAGCTCACTGCAACCTCAGCTTCTCAGGTTCGAGCAGTTCTCCTGCCTCAGCCTCCCCAGTAGCAGGGATTACAGACGTCTCTACTGATGTCTGTCCTCAGGAGGCAGGGTTTCTCCATGTTGGCCAGGCTGGTCTCGAACTCTTGATCTCGTGATCTGCCCTCCTCAGCCTCCCAAAGTGCTGGGATTACAGGCGTGAGTCACAGTGCCTGGCCACCTTTTTGTTTTTTTATGGCCACCTCTATCATCAGGGCTGAGACCCCACATGTAAACCTGGCGCCCCAGGGAAGCAGCATTTGGCTTCGGGTGGCTTGACCTGGGGTGCAGTGGGTCAAGGACCTGGAGCTGCCCTCTCTGCATTCTGCTCCCTCCATCGCTGGAACAACCCACATCCCATAATAGTGATTAGGACACTCAGAGGGATGAGGTGCCCTTGTTTCCCTGGGGACCTACTGGGGGTTCTGGCCATTGTCTTCTGTGGGCCTGTCACGTTCCTGCTGGCCCTGGGCCTGCCCCCAGGTAGGCCCCCATAACCCTGCTGTCCTCCCCAGAGCCCAGAGCACCCCATCATAGAGCAGGGGAAAGATGAACGCATCACCTCTAAGTGTCTCCTTATCCCAAAAGAAGGCAGAGTGGTGCCTGAACTCGAATCCCAGGGAGGCCAGGCCAGGGGTGCATCCTGAAGCCTCCAGCCAGGGGCACCAGGAGGGGTGAAGGAAACCCCACTCCTTATGCTGGTGCATTGGAAAACTCTAGCTTTCCCCCTAGCACTTCCCCCAATGGGAAGCCTGGGCCAGGTTGCTTCCCCTCTCTAAGACCCTCTGCAGAGCATGGAAGTCCACAGCCCAGGGAAGCAGGCAGATCCTCAGGCAGGCGTATGCAGCCAAGGGCTATGGGGCAAGACTGGGGGTGGAGCTGGAGAGGTGGGGCCTGAGGCCTTCGAGGCCACTGCCTGGGGCACCCGCCTACCTGGGGCTTGACGGGATCCCCAGTGAAATGGGATGGGAGCCCCCAGGGGACTCTGAATAAGCAATGGAGGTAGAAGGGAGCCCCCAGAGTTCAGGTCTCTAGCCCGTGCCTGCTGGATGGGGCATGGGTCATTACAGGGCATGTCAGCTGAGGAAGGAGAAGGGGCAGCAGCTCCTGCTTCCACATCGGTACCCACCAAGGCTCACCTCTAAATGCACAGTTAATGAACTTTTTTTCCTTTTCTTTTCTTTTTCCTTCTGAGACAGGGTGTCACTCAGGCTGCAGTGTAGTGGTCCACTCATGGCTCACTGCAATCTCTGCCTCCAACATTCAAGCGATCCTCCCAGCTCAGCCTCCAGAGGAGCTGAACCACAGGCACGCACCACCATACCAGGCTAATTTTTTTTGTATAGAGATGGGGTTTTGCCAAGTTGCCCAGCCTGGTCTCAAACTCCTAAGGGCAAGCAATCCTCCCACCTTGGCCTCCCAAGGGATTACAGGCATGAGCCACTGTGCCTAGTGCCCATTTAATGAACCTTTAAAGGACCTTGGTTTGACACATTTGGGGCCTCCCTGTGTCCATAAGCTCCCCTGTCACCGCACCAAGCCTGCTAAAAAAAAGAGGGGGACAGCATTTTTCTAGAATGAATCTTTTGACTTGTGAAACGATTTCTTGTCTATTTTCTTTACTAGGACTAGGGAGTTTAGCACATTAAAGGTGTTTGAGAATCCTAAGGGGCGTGCACTGTGATTCAAAGGTTACGGAAACTCAGGCACACAGAGTTGCCTGGGGTCACACCTGGCCCATAGTACCATGGACAGAGAACCAAAGTCTGTCTCAGTTGATTCAAATCAACCAGCAGATTCCTTGCAGTACCAGTTCAGCAGGCACGGAGCAGGAAGGAAAGAAAAGACCTGGCTCAAGCCCCACCTGTCACTGACTTGCTGGGTGACTTGGGGCAGGGCGTCTCTGGGCCTTGGTTTCTGCTCTTGTGAAAGAAGGTGTTGGAACCACATGACCCCTGGCAGCCCTTCCAGGTCGAGAACTGGTAAGACTCCCCAGCCCCTTGTCCTGGGCTCTGGAACCAGCCCAGAACAGGGCACCCACATCCACCCTCTGGCTCACAGGGATTTGGCGGAGAGGTGTGAGGTCTCCCTGCCGTCCTCACCAGGCTGTGTGGGGGAAATCATGACACCCCAGGAGGCTCTCAGGAGCCTTCAGAAACACAGGAGGACGGTGCCTCCGCTGGGAAGGAAAACAGGCTACAGGGGAGCTGGACCGAGAGTTCCTTAGAGGCCAAGTGGCAGCAGGGTGTCCCTACAGCAGGTGGGTGCCTGGCCCACCTCTCAGGCCATGACCCAGGGGCGCCAGGGGCCAGGGCTCTCCCCTCTCCTCCATCCTCTCTGTTATTCAACAGATATTTGTAGAGGGCCTGCTCTGTGCCAGGCCCTATGTTAGGCACTGAGAATAATAATAGCAAATCAAAGATTTAACCCAAAGATCTCAACCCATGCTGGGGACGGCTCACATTAACTCACTGATCCTCAGCCATCCTTAAACATGGGGACTGCTCTTAGATCTAATGACGGATCTCAAGGCACGGCGAGTTAACAGCCTTGCCGTGGCAGGAGGAAAGGGCAGGTCCCAATGGGCAGGCAGACTCAGGGACCGCCATCCCTACTACCCTTGCCTGAACAGAACGCTCCCAGCCAATGATGGATCCTTCACAGATGGGCCCTAATGCCCACAAGGGAAGGGACGTGCTTCAGTCGCATCACTGAGAGGGGACTTGGGTTGAGAACAGGATGCCTCGCCCCTTCTGCGCCCCCTCAGTTACATGGCACTTGTGTTCCAGACAAAGTTCCCAGTGGCTGGCATGGGAGCCGGGCAGTTGTGGGCAGAATCACCTATCCGGGCCCCCTGGATTTCTAGGGTGTGTGGGGTGAGGGTGGTTCCCCAGGACTTCAGCTCTCCCCTGAGCCACTGTACTCCTGGCCTCCCGTCCTGGCCCCTCTTGGGAGGAGCTGGTTGCTGCTGGGGTCGGGGAGGGGAGGAGTACCTGCTCCTGCCTCAGTGTTCCATTGTCTACATTTTCTGTGCTCAACCTTCTTCCCCTTGTTGAAACCTACAAACAGCCCTGGCCCGAGCCAAAAGTCCTTGGCCTCTCCATGCCAGGTTCCCGCGATTCTGCATCCTAAATGCTCCTCCAGGTCAGGCCCCCGGTGGCCATCCTCCTGCTGGCTCCTCCCGACCTCTCTGCAGCCCGCCTTTTGTGGCACCAGGCACACAGTGGGGAATCCTGCTTCTCCCCCTTCCCCGACTCCCTATCCTGCAACCGCGCCCACGCCCTGTGCTGGGCGCCTGACGTCACAGGGGAGCTGGTCACCGTGGGGGCTCGGGCCGGGGACTGCGCCGTGGTGGGCCGCACCACCTCCCCCGGTGCGCCCCCCAGCAGGGCGCCAGCCGGCGAGGAGCGACGGGAGCCTGCGGCGGCTGGCGAGGCGCGGACAGCCCAGGCCCGGAGGCAGAAAACCTGCGCACGAATCCCCGCGGGTGCATGCCTCGCTGAGGGATGCGGGCTCATCCTGCCCGCGCCTGGCCCCCCGCCTCAGTTTCCCTCTCTGTAAACGGGGAAAGAAGAAGGGTTGGCCCAGAAGCTCTTCAGGCGCCTTGTGGCTCCACGACTCCAGGAGAGCTGCACTAAGCTCGCTTTTCCCTGCGCCGCTCTCCTAGCGACTCCCGGGCTTCCAACAGCGGCGGTCCCCACGTCGTCCCGCACGCCGCGGCTACCGCTCTGCAGAGATCTAAGAGCGATTGCGAAAGGCCTCAGCCGCCGACGTCGGTCTGCGCCTGCGCTGGCCGCGGAGCGTACTGGGACGTGTAGTCCGTTCATCCGGCAGCTGGGGCGAGAAGCGGAGGGGTGGGAGCAAGACGCCTACACTTCCCAGGGTGCTCCCGGCCGGGAGCGGGCGCGGGGCGGGGCCGCCAGGAGGGGCGTGACATAGGCGTGGAGTGGGCGTGGCCTGCGCGCGGTGGGGCTGCGGCGGCGCTGCCGGCGGGGTGCGCTAGGAGCCGGCGCGGAGCCGGGGGGCTGGCAGAGGATAGCGCGGGCGCGGCACCTGCGGGCCGGAGTGTCGGGCTGCCCGCCGCAGCGCCGGGCCGCCCCGACTCCGAGCTGCTGCTGAGATGAGTGCAGGTGAGTGCTGGGGGCTGAGGGACCGGCGGGTCCCCGCGCTGGATCGCGGCGCCGCCGGGGCTGGGTGGCATTCGGAGGCTGCACCTGCAACGCCGGGAAAAATTGGACCAGCGGCTCCACCCAACTTTTGCTCCAGGATTTTGCAGTCCCGAGGGGCCAGAGCGCAGCCCCCTGCCCTGCTCCCGGAGCGCGTAGCTCAGTGGCGCGGGCCGGGGTCCTTTCCCAGCGCGCCGGCTGGCGTGGCTGCGCCGGGCTGTCTGGAAAGCGCCCCTCCTTTGCTTCTCACGGGGGTCCAGGTTGCTCCAGGCTGCAGAAGGCGGCCGGGCGGGGATCCGGGCGGGGGCCTGGGATCGGGGCGAAGGGCCGGGGCCCCAGCAGACCTAGGCACGCAGAGGTGAAATGACAGGCGGGGCTTTGCGGCCGGGGAGCCGCCCTTGCGTGGCTCCGGCAGCGCCTGGGTTAGGGGCGTCAGGCCGACCCTCGGCGCCCGGGACTCTCCGCAGCAGATCTGGGGACCCGGAGCCCGCATGTGTCAGACCCGGCTCCGACCCGATCTCTGCGTGTCTCCAGCCCCTCTCGCCCCTGCGCATCGCATCCCGGCCTTTCCTGCCGCACCCACCCTCCGGGATCTGACGGCCTCTGTGCGGCCTGGAAAAATCCCACAGCGTTGCAGCGCAGCCGGGCCTTGTGCTGTTGGGGAAACTGAGACCTGGAACTGGAGCTCTTGGCGGTGAACCCTGGAGGCCGCCTGAGGATGCCTGGATCTGAGAGCCTCCTGGGGCCCGCACCAGGCTGAGGGCTTGTCGTTGCATTCCCGGCAGGGAACGTCTGTCATCCCATTTTTCAGGGTGTGACCCGAGGCGCACCAGGCTTGAGTCACTTGCTTGGCTCAGGAAGGGGGGCAGGGATTCGAACCCGGTGCTCACAGACTCTTGTGCTCTTTCCTCTAAGCCTGTCTCACCAGGGACTGCAGTATGGCCCTTGGCCATGGTGCAGAAACCAGTGGGACAGCACTTCCCCTAAGAAGATCGACTGGGGAGAGAATGTGCATTTAGTGAAAGCTTCCTGTGCACTGTAGGCATAGAAGGGGGTGGGAGTTGAGGGGCCAGGGACTCCCCTACCTTGGGAGATGGTCTGCCTCCCCCTCCCATCCAAGGAAGGAGGGACTGCGTCGCAGGGAGCCTTTGGGAGTAGCTGAGAGCAGTGGCAGGTGGTTGGGGAGGTCGGAGACAGAACCCTTTGGAGGAGAATTTCTGAAATGGCTAACCTAGTTATCTGGGGGTGGCTGGGGCACCCTGAGACTTGGCAGAACCTCCAGACACATTTATCTAATGGCAGGTGGAGATAATGGCTGGGTGCACCCAGAGTAATTTTATGCCTCCTGTGGCCATAATTGATACCTGTGGTCCCCCTGTCATCAGGGAGAGCTTCTGAAGCAGTGCTGACATCTCTCCTCTGCATCTGTGGCTGCTGTTCCCAGAGAAGGGGTGTGTGGGCACTGGGGCAGCTGGGGGCAGAGACTGGGGTTTGAACTGTGGTACCTGCCTGGTGGTCTTAGGCCTAGGTGGCACCTTCCAGAGCTTAGCTTTCTGACCTGTAAGAGCAGTAGCATTGGTTGCCTGGAGGGGACAAGGTATAATTCGAAGAACCTCATACATGGGAGGCCCTTGGTAGTTTGAGATGGTCATTGCTAGATGGCCAACTCAGCTCAGCCCCTCTGAGTCAGTCCAGCTCTTTGGAACTGGCTGTGTGTGCACGCTCCCAGACACCTGTCGCCCCTGCCCAGCCCTGTCCCCAGCTGATGATGCACACAGCAGGCATTTCCACCCACACAGTCGGGGAGAGCAAACAGCTTGGGCCCTTGTTCCTGGCCTGTGGGCTCTAACGTCGGGCCACTGTGTGTCTGGCAGGACAGGAGCTTCCATCGTCAACAAGGGCAACAAGGGCAGGTCCCCCGTGGTGCTCCCCAGGCCGGCTGGCATCACTGCAGAGCTCAACACTGGGAGGAGTGGCTGAGCATCATCTGGTTCGGTCTCCAGCTGCTCAGATGGACCAGAGGATCAGAGCCCAGGGCAACCTGTCCACCCCTCCTGAGCTGCAGGCTCCCTGTTCCTTTGGGGTATGTGCAGGTCTTCAGTGTCATGACACAGGGTGCCTCCAGGATGACTCGGGTGTGGATCGAGGCCGTGCAGTCGCCTTACTTCTGTTGCATGTTGATTTCAGGTGGCTGGGGTGATTGTTTATATAGCACATGGCAAGGTTGGTGGAGATGACATCCCATACCAGAGAGGCCTGGTGAATCCAATGCCCTGACCATGGGGCTCCCCTGCCTCAGTTTCCCCGGTAGTATGGAGGGCAGGCCTTTAGCTCTGAGTGCAGTGCCAGCTCACACATGGTGAGCCCAGCAGGTGATGATGGGTGTGATGTAGCTTCATCTTACTGTAGCCCACGTGGTCACAAGGGGGCAGCTGGGGGAGGGGTTGAGAAAGGTGCCTGAGCTGGGGCAGGGGGTGGGGTGGGAAGGGATTCCAGTGCCAGGTCTGCCACCAGTGGGCACCAGATCCTTGAGCAAGGCCTGTGCTCTGTCTGAGCCTAGATGTACCACCGGGCAGCTGCTGGGCTGGCAGACTGGATTCCCCCGGGTGGACAGAGGCTCCTGAGGGGTTGTATTAATTTCCTCCCTAACAAAGTACTAAAGACCAGGTGGCTTAACCGGAGCTGGAAGGGCTGTGAGGAATGCTCCAGCCCAAACCCACACCCGCGCAGAGGGCAGACGGAGGCTCAGGGAAGGAAAAGCAGCTGTGCAGGAGCAAGGAGAGGATGTGGCGGAGCCGGAACCTGAGTCCTAGTCCTCGGACTGTGGTCGGCACAGGTCCTAGTATTTGGAACAGACACATTTCTTCTCCTAAGCCAAGAATGGGCAATGACGTAGCCACAGAAACATCCACCTCAGCCTTACTAGTGACAACAAAAAGCTAGAAGCCACCAAACCATGGAGGCGAGTGATGGAATAGAGCCATCTGTTCCGCAAAGATGTACAAAATGCCTACTATGAGCTGATAGGTTTGGCTGCGTCCCCACCCACATTTTACCTTGAGTTGTAATAATCCTCACGTGTCAAGGGTGGGGCCAGGTGGAGATCACTGAACGTGGGGCGGTTCCCCATACTGTTCTCGTGGTAGCGATTGAGGCTCACAGTAGCTGATGGCTGTGTAAAGGGGAGTTCCCCTGCACACGCTCTCTTGCCTGCCGCCATGTGAGATGTCCCTTTGTCCCTTCTTTGTCTTCCACTAGGATTGTGAGGCCTCCCGTGCCATGTGGAACGGTGAGTCCATGAAACCTCTTTCCTTTATAAATCACCCAGTCCTGGAATGTCTTCACTGGCAGCATGAGAGCAGACTGATAGACAACCCACACTGCTCCCAGCCCTGGGAATCCGCAACAGACAGAACAACCCCAAATCCATGTTCTCTTGAACTGACATTTTGGGCCATGGGGAAGATATGTATATGAAGTCACTATGCACGTGAAGAATTAGCGACCTTTGTAAAGAATTTCTAATGTTAGGAGGACGTGCTTAAGAAAATCGGTTTAATTTAGAAAATGGCTGAGGGCAAAGTTGTATGTCATGTAGGACGTCAGCTCTACAGAAACAGCCAGGGCGGAGCTGTGTGGCAGTGCCCTCGGTGCCCATCTGTAAGTGGTGGGAGAAGGAGCAAAGTTTCCCCCCTTCTCCACCTTTTTACTTTCCATGTGCTTTCCAAGTGTTCTTCATGGTGTTTTCTTTTGTACTAAAAGATTGAATGGAAAGAAGAGAGCACACTCTGCCTCCAGCCCTGAGAAGGGCATGAGCCGGTGGGAACCCATGACTCCGGCAGAGGTCCGGCGGTTCCGTTCTGCAGGGCCACTGTCCATCGTGTGGGATGACGGTGTCTCCCAGCAGTGAGGGAACTTAGCACGGGCAGCTGCACTGCCATCCGTTTTCCCTGCCTGACCCACAAATGAGGCACAGCAGAAGCCAGACCCTCCTGACCCAGAAATTCATCTGAGGTTGTATCTGGAGAGAACCACCGTTGTGCAGGCACTGGCAGGCTGTCCTTAGCCTGGTCACCCCCAAGCTCTACCCTGTTCTTCCGTGAGGCGCAGGGTTCCTTCCTAACCTGGCCACCCAAGACCCTTGACTCTATGGTTTCTGTCGATGAGATAGTTTAGGGGTAGATAGGATATTTTCTAGAATCAAGTCTTGAGTTTGATGAACTCTTGGAAAGTTCAATCATACTGTCCCAGAAAAAGGTGTGTGTCTCTGACTCATGGAAAAGCTGCCTGCCCCACCCTGGGCTTCCAGAGCATTGTCCAGGTCATGGGAGACCGCTGAGCTCACCAGAGGAAATTGGCGAGACTGGGAGATGAAGGGGCCTGTCTTGTCACTGGCCCTTTAGGCGGGCACCGCCTGTCCTTGAGGCCAGAACAGGCTGCTGGCCTGATGCCATCAACCAATGCCAGAGCCTGGATTCCATGGCCCCTTTCCTGCAAAGACACTCAGGGGACTTCCTTGCTGCGCCCCTTGGCTGTGCCTCTGCCTGAGTAGGGCTCCGTGAGACCTGCCCTGAAGTGGGGTCTTGGGCTCACACCCAGCTCTGCCACTTGCTAGCATGATCAAAGATCAGACCTCCATGTCCTTCCGTCTGTTGCTGCCTCTCCCCAGGGTCTTGGTAGGGATTGAGGGTGCCGTGAGCTGATCACAGAGGTTGTTAAAACAGCTGCGATAGGAAAACGTGGGCCGTGTCCTGGGGTAGCACCCAGCGCTTGTGGCTGATCACACGGCTCCTGCAGTCATCCCCCCATGATGCGGCTGCCCCAGTCCCGGGGAAGCCCGGAAAGAGCGGACCTCCGAGGCTCGCACCCGGCGCAGAGCAACCTGAGTCAAGCAGTCTTAGTTTACTCCAGGAATTTTTCCATCTCCAGGGCTGCTCAGGGTGTCTAGGGTGTCGGGCAGCACC